ACGGATAAGCAAATTAACTAAAACGTGTTATATTGTAACAAGAGAGTTGGCTTTATTTTTAATTCACTTGTTACAGACAATTTAATTTTTTTATTGATAACACACATTTCCTAATCCTAAGCTAACTAATATTTAAATAACTTAGAGTTCGACTTTGATTTTAATATTATTTATAAATTTTAAAAAAATTGGAATTGGTTTGTTGAACTTACTTCTTCTATAGAATTAAATACTGTTAGCTTGCGCATTTTACGACAACAGTTTTTGTATCTTTAATAAAAATGATTTTATTTGGAAACCCCATACCATTTTATAAAATCACGCCAAATAAACCGATTGCCATCGGAAGAAGCAGAAAGATAAACAAAGAATTAAATAGTGCCTTTCGGTTGTTGCACAAATGCAAATGTTGTTCAAACAAACATGCCTTATCATGTTTTGGCACCTTGACATCCCTTCACCTCCCTTCCGCTAATATTATGACATAATTAAAGCCCGACACGTGTTTGGCTTGATTTTCCTCGCGGTGGTCACCTGTCCAGTTTTCCACCTTACCACCTGTTCACCTGCTCACCTGTCCACCCCTGGCTGACACCTCGTGGGAAATTGATGATGGGACATCAGGACTGGTTGTAGTGTGCATATTTTTAAATGCAATTTAATGTGTGCAACAATTTAGTGTACTTTTGAAAGCATTTTTGTACATTAGGGTGGCCCAAATGATACTTTCAACCACTTATAGTATGCACATCAGAATAATTTGTCTGAATAAAATGTCTTTAAGGATTTGTGCATTCTATTTAAAGTATATTACTCATACGTACTGTTGCCTTTGAACTACTTGCCGTGTGAGTAATTTTTAAAAAGACTTTGTCACCATTGCATAACGCCTTAAACTTTATATAAAATGTTTTGGTTTCCAATACATTTATTGTACACCAAAATCTACCAAGCTAAACGTTTAGAGTAGAGTTTTTTTTGAACCACCATAATATGAAAACTCAGTCTCCAAAATAAATAAAAACGAAACAGATAAAACAAATTTTCAATCGCAATTTATCTTTAAAATGGGTGCCAAAGTGCATTTTCCTTCCTGCCCCCTGTTAAGTTAGTTTTCTGAATTGATGTATTCGATATACTCTATTTTCTACCGTAATAGCACCCATAAAGTATTTTGAAAAATTTAAATTTGATCAAAAATGTATGGCTTTTAATCTTTGCATAGTTTTGTTTGCAATTTTTAATGTTTATACACAGCTTTCAGTGCAATTTATGTTAACAAAAATGTTTCGAAATTTTAAAGATCGTAAACAACATTCTCATTTTTGATATTTTTACATCAGTTTAAATGCAATTTATTTCCATATTGAATATTTTAATAATCGTAAACAAAATGAGGATTTTTAAATAAAAACCCATTAAAGCTGTCCATTTTCATACATTCAAATTTGTAGTTCAGAGTGCAATTTATTTTTTTAAAAATGTTCAAGCATTTTTAGTATTTTAACATTATTTTCTGTTTTGTTTTTGTTTTTCTTTTTAAAGCTATTAAAATTTTAAATGTTATATTTTTCCATTTAATGTTAAAGTTCAACCTTGTTTATACCCAGGCTATAACTCGGCTGTTGAAAGATGTTTAGGCTATTGGTTTAACTGCAAGAGCTGTTACAGTTAATTTCTTCTTATTTTAGTGCAGATATGTATTTATTTTTTGTTCACACACCCGCTCATAGCTACATTTTAATATTTCTCCCAGATGAGAAGTATCCTGAAGGAAGCTGAACATATAAGCTGGTAAAGGCAACGATACGGCCATATTTCTCAGTTTATTGTGCTTGTCAATTGCAAGCCGGCAAAAAAAAATGAATGCCATGCCATATGCATACTCCCACTCGTTTCTGAATTCTAAGAGTTCAGGGGGGAAGTTCTCAAATTTATTCTACTGGAAATATTGCATTTTGATATCTCTCGCACAGAACTTGATGTCTGCAAATCATCGAAGTTGCAAGAGGTTCGCTTTTCTGTCAATTTGCTTTTGACCATGCCAACAAATGCAGCAATTAGAATTTATTGGAATTTAACTAGGCTTAAATATTTAAAATTTCATATAAAATAATCAGCAAAAATAAATTCTCAAAGGCACAAAAACGACAATAATATTTAGTCACTTTTATTAGAAATTAAGCTTAGCTCTTAAGATGGTTTTAAGTGGCTCAAGTGTAAAATTTCTACACTGGTAAGAAAAAGGAGTAAATCTTTAAATTTGATTTATTGGTTGTAATTGTCTGTCATCTCCCTATTGATATCTATTGCGTTTTCCTTTTATCTGCTATTATTTTAACGAAAAGGTGTCTCATCCAAAACGACATATTGTTTTTATGACATAATCGTAGACAAATGATGGTAAATCTATATGCATATGTATACACTTGACATTCAACTCTGCCATGACCCCAGACAAAATGGAAAAAAAAACGGGAAAAATAGAAGAGGAGATATAAAAACAACTTTAAGGGCACGATGAGTTGACTTGGCAGATGGCTTGTAAGTGGCTTTTTGACTTGGCCATTAACGCAAACTTGACACATTGATGACAATGTTGTTATTGGCGCTATTGCCACGGTTATTGTTTTTTTTTTTTATGCAATCACTGGTGTCTGTCACCTAACAACTTGGCTATATTTTTGTCTATGTCTATGGATTTTATGCGGATCGACTTGGCACAGCGTAACTTTAGATTTATGATAAGTCACGTTTCCAGCTGGTGGCTGGAAAATTGTTTCACAGCTTTAGGAAAAATGGCAAGCAAATACGAATTTTATGCAATCAAAATGCATTTTGGCAGACAGTTGGTGCTCATCAGGCAGCCAATTAAGCTGTTTAATTAAATTTCGAGTAGAAAGTGCCGAGCAAGCCGATGAAAAAAGATGAAGAAGACACCGCAAAACAATTTAGCAAACGTGCAGCAAAAAGGCAACGAATAATTGTCCTGCAATTGCAATTTTCTATAGAAATATATAGAGATACAACAGTTTTTCATTGAATCAAATTCTTTGGTTTTTCAAAGATTTTCTTAAAAGCTTGAGCGCCAATTCAAAAATAATACATATTTATTTGATATATTTGTACTAGAAATAATTGCCATCACATTGGATTTCATAAGTATTTTTCCGCCAAAGGTTTTAACTATAATCTTCTTACTTTCTCCATTCTTGATTGAGCACCAATTAAATAAAGTTTACAACGTGTTCATTGCAGTCCACAGTGTATAGAAAATAATAAGTTCTTTTAAAATATTTTTACCTGAATTAATTGCCATCCTGCTACACATTGTATTTCTTTCTCCATTGTTGTTGAGTATTTTGCTGCTTGCATTTCCCGAAAAATATATTTCCATTTGTTCTGTCTAGCACGACTTTTCGCTTTTCCCCCTGTGGTAGTTTTTCCAGGGAGCCTTCCTGCACTTCACATAATTTCAATGGACCGCATTTTCGTTTGGTTCGGTTTATCTCTCTTTTCCTCTGAATATCCGACGGCGCCGACATTGCCGTGACAATGCCGAACTCACATACACACATATCACCCGTAGACAGGAGGACCAAAAGAGTCTGCACTGTAAGAAAAATATATAGCAAACCGGTTATTAAATTTTATTTAAGAATTTCTTAAGAATTCTTAACCTTAAATTGGTTTAAATTAAATCATATTACAACCAATCTATAAATTGTCAATTAATTAATATAATATTTCATATAATAGGAATTTAACATAAAACATCAAATAATTAATAAATAAATAATAAGTTTACTACATTGCTTTAAAAAAAAAAAAAAAAAGAATAGGGTTACATCATAATAATTTATAGAAAATCAATCCGAAACTAGAAACATTTTATTTTAACGAAGATTTGTAGATATATAAGCAACAAAGTTTTATAGGAATGCCTTTTTGAAATCAACTTGCTCTAAGAAAAGTTATGGCCTAGTCACAAGTTTTTTTTTTTAAGTAGTAAGAGTTGGGAGTTGCTCGTGGAGAACGATGCTCGCAATTTGTGGCTTTCGCCACGCTTAATGCCAATCTCGGTGAGGCGTTCCACCGCCCAATCGCCACCCAGTCACCACCCAATCCCACCCATCCCGTGGAAAGCACCACCCACTCTTTCCTCAGCCATTCTTGTGCTATCTTGCCGCATTACAATCCACTGACATAATGCAAAAATCGCAGCAAGTCAGGCGCAACTCGTTGATAGGCGTGTACTGCAATTTCTGTCTGATTGGGAAAAAAGGACTTGGGGGAAAAAATGGGGAAAAGGGGGGACTATTGTGTTGTGCCATAAAAGGATTCGAGGAATTTGGGGAATAGTGTAAAGCCCCAAATGGTGAGCAAGCTAATTAAAATTTGCGTTTTGTGTCCAAAAAAATATTTTTAATACCTTCCAACTCTATTTTGACAGCACTTTTAATTATAGTTTTAATTTATGACTAGTAAAATTCAACAAATAAACAGGTTTAAAGTAATTACTTTCTGTCCAAGGCTATAAATACTCCTAAAAAGCTCTGCTTAAATTAAGCCATTAATATTTATGGCTAGAAAATGATGGCTATAACTATTGTTAAACAATTTTAATGATAGCATTACAAGTCTTAAACATTTTTAGGCATTAAAAATGCTTTCATGCTGTTTTATGTACACAGATTGTAAACATTGCTTTTATTTTCTTTTAAAGTTAAGTCATGACATGAGTACTTAGTAATTGTATTAAGTTTATGGCTATTAAAACCCATAAAATAATTAAACTCAACCCCCTTGGACTGGCTTATCGATTCGCGATAATCGCCTTGAACAATTCAAATGGCCAGAGCGAAGTATATAAATCTTGGATTTACGCGACGCTTTCCTGGTATCAAGGAAGCTCTAATAAAAAGCCCCACTCGACTTTCAATCGATAGATTAGATTGAACTTAAAACTGATTAATAGGTATTTGCGCAAGTACTTAGTCGTACGACCGATCTCGAAGGCAAAAGTTCAGCCAGAAATGCTGAAAGGAGTGCTAACTATTTTGGCCATTGTGGCTGCGGCCGTGGCAATCGACGATTTTGATCCTTTCATTGATATACCCTTTAAAAGGATAAAGACCTCGGTGGGTTGAAAAGTATTTCGCTTAAGAAATGAGAAAATATTATAAGTGAAAAAGAAATATAATAAACATTACATTTATAATTAAAGCAATATTTTTTAGTAAAATTTATTTAAAGAGTGTCTAAAAAATGTAAATAAGCTTCGTCATATGTAAACAATCAAGCGAACAATAAGGATTTATGTTGAAATGTATGTTTTGTTCTCATAAATTTTATTCAAAATAAGAAGTGCCTAATGTAAAGAAAGTGTAAACAAATTTGAAAATATTTGTTTTATTCACATAATAATTTTAACGTAGTAAATTCAAGTATTTCATAATTAATTTAATAATAACATTAATATAGTAATATTTTCCAAAATATATTCAACATCCAGACATTTTAAATCACTTTTGACACAAGATAATCTTAATGTAAATTCAATATTGAATTGGTAGCTTTAATTTATACATGATTAAATTTAATACCCATTTGGAGAGCATATTTAACTTTGACTTCTGGCTTGCAGGCGGAGCGCATTGAGGCCCATGGCTACCCGGCCGAATCGCATTTTGCGGAGACCCCCGACGGCTATGTGCTGAATCTGTTCCGCATTCCTCACTCCCCGAAGCTAAGCAATGCAGGAGGGGAATCCCCGCCACGTCCGGTGGTGCTCATCATGCACGGGCTGTTCAGCTGCTCCGATTGCTTCCTACTCAATGGTCCGGAATCGGCCATCCCGTTCAACTACGCAGATGCTGGCTACGATGTCTGGCTGGGCAATGCCCGTGGCAACATCTACTCGAGGAACAACACCCGGCTGGATGTGAAGCATCCGTATTTCTGGAAGTTCAGCTGGCACGAGATTGGCTCCATCGATCTGCCCACCACGATTGATTATATACTGGATCTAACGGGGCAGCAGTCGCTCCATTATGTTGGTCATTCCCAAGGATGCACTTCCTTTTTCGTGATGGGCTCCTATAGACCCGAGTATAATGCCAAAATCAAGACGGCTCATATGCTGGCACCTCCGGTGTTTATGGGTAACACCACAGAGGGTCTCATTGTCGGCACGGCTCCATTATTCGGACATCATGGCATCGGGTCGACACTTTTGGAAAACCAGGTCCTGCTGCCCCAGAATGCCTTCATCCAGAGGATATTGGACACCACTTGCAGCAATCAGCCAATTATGCTCAGCTACTGCAAGACTTTGGCCATGCTCTGGGGAGGTCCTGAAATTGGAAACCTCAATCAGGTGGGTCTTTTATGACATATAAAAAAAACACATTTTTTTAGAGACTTTTTGCTGTAATTATGCCAAAACAAGACGCACAGCCAAAAGGGTGACTTTTTTGAGCAGCTTGAGACCTAAACTATCCATCTGGGGTGGATTTAGAAAAACAATTTGTTTGTCCAATTTTTGCATTTTTGACAAAGGGTTACATCATTATTTTATGCTATTTATTTATTACTTTTATGTGCTTCATGGAAAAACCGAAGTGTTTTTTTTTTAAATTTGTCAAATAAATTTATTTATTTATTTAAAATTAATATTTGTGATTTCTAGTAAATTTATAATCGGTTGTAATTGGCTTTAGCTGTTATAATTAAAATGTAATATTTCCTACTAAACTTTGTCTTTAACCTAGTTCTTAATTTATTTTTATTCCCAATTAATTTATGTTTTATTCCCTTTTTAGACTCTCCTCCCACAAATCGCTGAAACGCATCCCGCTGGAGTCTCCTCCAATCAGGCCATTCACTACATTCAGTCCTTCGTCTCGAATGAGTTCCGTTTATACGATTGGGGAAGCCGCAAGAATCTGGAGTATTACGGAGTGGCAGAACCTCCGGCATATGATCTTACCAAAATAACCTCTAAGCTTTACCTGTACTATGGTTTGGCAGATGGTTCGGCCAACAAACAGGATATCTCTCGACTGCCCGAGTTTTTACCCAATTTGGCCCTACTCCATGAGGTTCCAGAGCCCACATGGGGACATTTGGACTTTATTTTTGCCACGGAGGTCAAGAAGGTTATCAACGACATGGTGTTGGAGTATAGCATAGCTTACGATGCGGAGGAAGCTAATAAATAAAGATATAAACAATTAAAGTCTTATATACAAGGTATTTTTAATGAGTTTTTGAGATATTCTGGTTGGTAAAAATAAACATTTAAATAATCTATTTATAATCATGATCTCTATTAAATCTAAATACTATTTATATATATATTAAAAAATATATATGATGAACAGAAAGGACAAACGTTTTAGTAAATTTTACCAAATCTTTTTCATATCTTTAGGAAATACAGGCCTGAATGACAACTAACAACAAAAATAAGTGCAATGGTTAAGTCGCTTAAAAAATGGATTTTTAATGGAACTAAGTTTTTTTGCATGTGAAATCTAAAAATATACTTGATTTATGTTTCATATTACCAAATTTAGTCACTATCTTTGGGAAATACCCCCAAGAGAGTGACCTTTTGAGACAGTTTCGACCAGAATGGCAAGATTGCCGAGCTAATTACCAGTTAACAAGTGTCTGCTGGTTGGGTTATCTCGTCCCTAGTCTGCCCCATTCTCTGAACTTGGTTTTGGTCACGCCTCTGTGATGTACAAGTTTTTTCCTCCCGGTTTGTTGACAAACATTATCGCTGGCTGGATAACGTGGTTTTCCTCACCCTTTTTCACTTTTCCTAAATTACAGTAATTAGCAGTGGGTTTGTTTGGCGGTTTGGACGGGAACCAGTTGCAAATATGCTTATAATGATGATTTATGTGGTTAAGTGGGTAGCCAACACCCTGTGGAATTGCTGCACAGGCAACTAGAAAAATGCATTGATAAGAGGAATTTGCAGGGGAATAAAAATGTTATGCATTTAAATTCTCATGTATTTTATTTTTTCTATTTATGAATCATCACAGAGAATGACGCACTTATTATCGTTTTCCTTGTGAAGCTAGCTATAAAATTATGAATTAAAACTAGGAATTTGGTTTCAAATGAATTTCTTATCTCTGCTTGAAAAACTTACATTGATAAAAGAAATTTGCATTCATTTCCAGGAAAAGGAACAAAAATAGTTTAATTTTATTTATGTTTTATGTGATGAATCATCATTATATTTAGAATATATAGAATTTTGATTAAAGACTAGGAATTTGATGTCATTTCGTATTGGCAAAAAATGCTTTTATATATTAGTTTCCATGTTTTTACCTAAAATAACTAATTGATGAATCACATTTAAGCTCACTTATTATCGTTTTTCATCAGCTAATCAGCTATACAATTCTGAATTAAAATTAGGAATTTGATGTCAAATGAATTTCTTATCGCAGGTGTTATCAACTCACACTTGTTAGATTAAGAGCTAGATTTAAATCGCGCTAAACTCTTAACTCAGCCCCCTTGGTGTGCAGTGAACCACGTAGATAATTAATTGACTCTAAGTAATTCGCAAAGTGCTTCGCACTTCGGACGGCTTTACGTTTTACCCCTTTTTCCTTTCGGCCATTAACCATTGAAGCCAGGCTGTTGGCAATTAAACCGCAGCTCTTTATTAATCGCGGTCCGCTGATGTGGAAGAGGATAATGCCGGTGACGAGGCTCAAGTGCGTCAGCAGACGAAAAAAATGCGCAAAAATTCAGAAAAAGTTTGTAAAAAGTAAGGGAAAATTGCAGATCATCAAAGGCAAACACAGGGGAATAAAATTAATAAAGGGTAAAAGGATTTTTGGAGGGGAATGCACCACAGACATCTGCGGGGCTATAAATCTACCGGTCTGCTAGGACCCCCCGCTCAAAACCTGACCCCATAATCCTTTATTTTCGTTTTCAATTTGTTGGAAAAGGCAAACAGAAAGTGTTAAAAGTATTTCTCATGCGGAAAATCCACAGTGACTGGCCAAGCGCTGACAAACTTTTCTCACCCAAAACTCCTCCTCTCCTGTCTTTTCCTAAGTGGCTGCGACACTTTTGTATGCATAATTTAAACAAAAGTCGCCAAAAAACTGCTGCAGAATACTGGGTAGCTGAAAAACAAGCAGCATCGGCAGCAGCAGCAGTAGCAGCAACCGGAAAAGTTGCAATTGCAAAAATTGAAAAATTTTCCGCATAAAAATATGCGCCTGGCATAAAAAGTCGCAGGGAAAAACAAGAGGAAAATCAGTAGAGCCCCCAAAAGTAGTAGGAAATCTTACTCTCAGCCAAGATGTCGACAAAGTGTCCAAATGTTGGCCAAATGTTTATTGTCGAAAAGTTAAGCAGAATGCATAATGCAGATTGCCAGGGTAAGGGAGTAAGGAATCACCAAAAAACAACAGCCCTTTTTTGATTTTTTGTAGTGGTTTAAGGTTTTACTAATAAACTACTTAGTTTTGGCTTATTTGTTTGTTTTATTAAACTTCATTCTAACATTTGGCATTGTAGTATTTTTACTTGCACATAGCTCTTTCTAATTTATTTACCCATTTGCATTTCAATTTACATATTTGCCCTGCAGTTAGAAACTTTGAAAAACAAGGCCCCACAAGAAAGTCTTGTTTGCGCAAAAAAGTTTCTGGTTTGAACGTAATTAAATCTGCATTTACTTAATCAAAAAGAATTCACAAATTATGATGTTATTTGGGCAACCTTTTTTGATTTATTTAGGCCAAAGTTTTTAAAAATTTTAAGCTTAGACTGCTTGCAAAGAAAGCTCTAACACTTTCTCAGTAGAAAGTAAGACAAAATGGATAAGACATAACATTGGTTTTTGTATAAACTTTAGTATATTGTAAATATATTTGCTTGGAGTACTCTGTAGTAACACTTTATGTAAACATTTTCCGTACATTTTGTTGTGTAATAAATGAATTGAAAAGGTTTTTTGATAAAGTAAACTGTTTTGCTTAAAAAGTCGTATAAGTTTTCAAAATTTTAAATAAACATTCTTATAACGGATTTTTTTTTTTCAAATTAAACAGTTACCGAGTCACGGAATATGGTATTTTTATGTTTGCGTTAAATACTGAAAGCTTTAGGTCAGCTTTTCCGCTTAAAATGCCTTTTGCACTCTGGTCACATTGCTGAGGCGACCGAAAAGAGAGAAAGAAATTAGCTCCCGATAATTGCAATTAATTATTATTCAAACTAGCAACATAATATATCAAAAATGGAGGTTGAAAGCCCGGAACACACGCGAGATTTCGCCGAGGTGGACATCAACAATGGGGCGCCATCGGGATCGGAGGACGAGGAGGAGGAGGTTCCAGCGCCGGGAAGTGTAACTCTGGACAGGAATGAAAGTGATCTATTTGTGTCGGCACTAAGTCCCAGCAGTATCGGAGATATACACGTAAGTCGGGGGAATATACAGGCTATATCCGCATGCAACCTACATTCGGAGCCCTATTTAATTAGCTCCAATTTCGGGGCGTCGCTCGCTTTATCAACATTCGCTTTGTTTGGGCTTTGTTGGCCACAGCTGCGGGCAAAAAAATAGTAGTGGAGCAATGTCAAGTACTAAAAAATATTCTCAACAAAAAAATATATATAAATACCAACTTTTCTTTAAATTTATCACAATTTATCAACAAACTGAGTTTTAAAAACCTTTCATATTGTTTTATTTAGTCAAGAATTCCTATTATTCCTATAATAAATGTAAACTTTAATATTTGCCCAAAACAGAAATCTTCAAAAGTTGCTTCCTAACTTTTTCTAGTAGCTATTCCATAGGTTAAAAAACTACTCTCATTTTGACCGCAACTGTACGACTTTAGTGCCGCCCTTTAGCAAACTGCTTGTTGCTTTTCATATCTACTAATCATAACCAATCCCCTTTAGCCGCTGCAAGAGGTGCTCACCGACGACGGGGACTACTTCATCAACATTGTCATCTCAGATCCTCAGAAAATTGGCGATGGCATGGGCTCCTATTTGGCGTACAAGTGAGTCATCCCTATTCCTTATCATACAATAGAAAGCATAGTCAAATCCCATTTCAAACCTTATCTCGGGCAGGGTGACGACCAAAACGAATATTCCCAAGTTCAAGCGCAGCGAGTTCAGCACTCTGCGTCGCTTCAGCGATTTCCTGGGCATCCATGATCTGCTGGTGGGCAAGTACATGCGGCTGGGTCGCATCATACCCCCAGCGCCCTCGAAGAACATTATCGGGAGCACCAAGGTGAAGATAAGCCCGCAGCAAAGTGAACCGGGCACTCCGATGAATCAGGAATGGGTTGAGATCCGCCGGGCAGCTTTGGAGCGATTTGTCCATCGCACAGCCCAACATCCAGTGCTACGCGTCGACCTGGACTTCATGAACTTCCTGGAGAGCGATCAGGAACTGCCGCGTTCTGTGAACACCTCAGCTCTCAGTGGAGCCGGCGTCATTCGGCTGTTCAACAAAGTGGGCGAGACTGTGAATAAGATCACCTACAAAATGGACGAGAATGACCCATGGTTCGATGACAAGATCACCGAGGTGGAGAGCCTGGATGCCCATCTGCAGAAGCTGCACAATGCCATGAAATCGCTGGTCACCTCGCGGCGGGAGTTGTCGCTTCTCACTGGCTTAGTGGCCAAATCGGCGGCCATGCTGAGCACCTGCGAGGAGCACACTGGACTTTCGAGGGCTCTATCCAACCTGGCGGATGTGGAGGAAAAGATCGAGCTGCTCCGCTCCGAACAGGCCAACTCGGACTTCTTCATTCTGGCCGAGTTTATCAAGGACTATCTGGGCCTGTTCGGGGCCATCAAGTGCATTTTCCATGAGCGTGTCAAGGCCTTTCAGAACTGGCAGTATGCACAAATGCAGTTGTCTAAGCGTAGGGAGAATCGCGGACGCTTTGAGCTGGCCAACAGAGCGGATAAGCTGGATCAGGCCCAGCAGGAAGTGGATGAGGTGAGTCTGGCATAACTTATATATAATTTCATCTCTTATTTACTCCTCTTTATTTATTTTAGTGGCAGGGCAAGGTGCAGCGCTGTCAGCAGCAGTTCGACGACATTTCGGCGGAAATAAAGCGTGAAATGGAGCGTTTCGAATTGACCAGAGTTAAAGACTTTAAAGTAAACATTATCAAGTATATAGAAGACCAAATGGCGCATCAGCAACAGGTGCGTATATATACCATGTATATAAAAACACAGAGAATGAATGTTTTTGTTTGATTTTCAGATCGTCAGCTATTGGGAGGCCTTTGCTCCGTTTGCCCGCGAAATCGTTTAACTTTTATTCCGATTTAATGCATTTCCAGAAACTTTTTGAATAACCAACAGCTACGCGCGCTACGATCTTATTCTGCGGGACCAAATTCGTTCTTGACCCATCATTTGTGGAGCTACAATTTCGCCTTCGCCGCCGCAGCTCGTATTTTTATGAAACTGCTTTCGTCGATTCCTCTCAAGCATAGAAAAGTTCAACTTTATCGTTGCATTCACAAAGCCTATTTATCTCCTTATTCGTACACAGTAATTATTATCAAGGCTTGTATACATTCAAAGAAGCTGAAAGGTTTTCACAGTACTCTCATTCTAAGTATGCATTCGGTATTATCTAAAACACGGCAATGTGGATCTAGTTGTTAGATGAATGGCCATTTCCAAATTGAAGTTTATACCATTATTATTGGGAAATGATTTTCCCTATTTATTGTTGGTATATTTATGTATTTATATATATATTCCTATTAAAACATTTTGTATCATGACAAAGAGAGCATTTCAACAAATAAATTTGTAAATATGTATAGATGTAAATAGTTGTTGTGTCGTTTTGTATATATCAGAGTATGCTTTGGTTCAAAAGTGCAACTTATTTTTAAGTTCTTTGATGTTTCAGGAAAATAATTTCCATATATACATAGTGTCTTCCCTAGTATTGGTCCGATTTACTTAAAATTTAATAACAATTATTTGACTTATTTTGCAATCTTAGAGTTAAACAAAATTTTAAAAATATAGTGAAATTCTATTTTATTTTACACTAAAACATAAAAGTTTGGAAATAATTGCATTTAAGCTGTATTACATATATATTATAAATCACTGTATTTTTAATTTCGAAAAAAGTGACTTCACGCGCCAATCACTAATATTTGTTATATTTTCGTTAACCAAACACGGTCACACTGTTTTACACAATCCAGAAGAAGAAGAAGTGTTTAGTCATTTTCAACTTTGTTTCTCGAAGTTTTCCAAAATAACAGCCATATAAGAGGCCTTTCAGAACGGTTTCAGTAAATAGTTTCAAGGAAAATAGCAACTTAACAAGTACAGCATGGAGTTTCCTCACTTGGGTCAGCATTGCAGCGAGGAAACTTGCAACAGATTGGGTGAGACGCAAAAAGTGGACAACCAACCAGGAGAAAGCAGAAACTAATTGAATTAATGTCGATCTACAAACAGATTTTCTGCCTGTAAAGTGTGATTCGTGTGACAAGGTCTTCTGCGCCTCGCACTACAACTACGAGCGGCACCATTGTCCGGGTGCCCACAAGAAAAACGTCCAGGTGCCCATCTGTCCACTGTGCCGTGAACCCGTGCCTACGCCACCCGGAGTGGAACCCGATGTCACCGTGGGCCAGCACATCGACCAGCAGTGCAAGTCGGAGAGCAAGAAGATCTACACCAATCGCTGCCATGCCAAGGGATGCAAACGCAAGGAGCTCATCCCGGTGACCTGCTCCCAGTGTCATTTGAACTTTTGCCTGCGTCATCGCCACACCAGCGATCACGATTGCCAGCCATCTAGTGCCAAGCCAGCGGCAGCGTCATCATCATCTACAGCCAGTGGAGGAGGATGGCAGTCCATATTCAAGACCTCTTCGGATTCACGATCCATGGCTGCCCAGGCGGCCGAGCGACGCAGGCAGAATAAACCAACCAGCAACTCCAATTCCAATCCCAGACCAAGAGCTGTGCAGGCCACACAAGTACAAAACATACAGGGCAATATGGTGAGTTGGCAAGTTTTGTATGTTATACAATTTCTAGAATCTTTAAGTCATTTGGAATTGTATAGAATTTCCCTAATTTCATAACTTAATTACTTTCAGAGCGAGGACGAGGCACTAGCGCGAGCCCTGGCCTTATCAATCATGGAGCAGGATGACGCGGCGGAACGCAACCGCCAAACACCAGGGCCAAACAACGCCCCCCCGGTTTCAGTGGGCGGGGCTGGCAACCAGCAGGGAAACGTCAAGGACAAGTGCCTGCTGTCCTAGTTCAAACGGAAGCCAAAAGCCAAGCAACTCTCAACATATCCACATTACTTGACCAAACAGCAAGGAATCTGCCCAACTACTAGCTCTTAATCAATCGAACTTCGTTATCGTAATATTTTGTTGGTAATTTACTTCGACTTCGTCACATTCTACGTGGTTTAGCAAAAATAAATCAATGTTAATTCTACATTTTTTGGAAAGCATAGATTGGAGTTGTTTAACACACGGATCTTTAGAAAAGGGAAATTGCAAACCGATCTTGCGCAACTCTAAACAGATAAATATATGATACAAGGCTTAGCTACATAAATAGATACACGTAGTTATACAAGATAGATTGCAAATTATTGAGAATTGGCCTGATCACCGATCCTCTCCGTTGAAATTCCCTCCGCAGGAACCAATTCTTTCTGGGCAGCGGCTTCCTCGGCCTTTGGCTCCTCCACCAGTTCGGATTTATTGGACAGCGTGCTCAGCTTTCTGGCCACAGTGGAACCTCCTTCCACCGACGACGAAGTGCTGATTTTGCGGGCTGCTGCTGCAAAACTGGCCACTCCCTCGGCGGCCAAAATACTGGCACTGGACAGGAGTATCGAAACTTGCTCCGCCGACGGACAACTCGTGATGATCATATCATCGGTAGAGTAGCCATTGGTGGTCAGCAGTTGTTCCAGTTTCACGAACGATTGAATTATGTTGTTCTAAGAGGGAGGTATATAAATTAAATAACTCATTTTAATATAGGTAATGTAAAAGCTTACACGAATCGGTCGAAAAATAATGAACTCCGTATCACGATTGCTCAGATAGAGCTGCATGGAACGCTGGAGCACCGCCAGCTTGGCTTTAATCAGGCGCTGTGTCTCTTGGATGATGCTACTTATCTGCTGCGGACTGGCCCAGGCACTTTGCCTCAATACGTAGTTGACTTTGGCGGAATCCGTGGCTTGTGGCGCTGCCAACAGACTTTGCGCCTTTTCCAGGAATGTAACAAGCGGACCTACGAGCATGTGCACTGCATCCTTGATATACTTCTCACACACCGACTTCAGTTGGCGGTCAACTTCCTTTCGCGAGTCCAGCAAATGTTCTTTAATCTGCGGCGTGCCCTCCAGCAGAAATTCCAGCAGAGCATTGTTGCTGCCCATGGAGAAGAGCTGCTTGCGCTTCTGCAAAAGACCAAAGGCAGCGGTCTTCACCTTGCTAAAGTCCAGCGAGGTTTCTTTCACTGTGAAATCCACTCGAAATGGGGCTATTTGTTCTCGCAGTATAAGCAAGTGCTTGATTTCGAAAAGCTCTCCATCGATGGGCGTTTTGCTAGCGGATATCTTGCCAGCCGCATGCGAAACACTCTGGATGCAGAGTTTTAAAGCCTCCTGCGAGAGTCCCTGGAAAATGGGTCTATCCACGCAGCGGTAGAGCCTAGACAGGCACACCAAAGTCCTACGCACTGTGGGATACCACATGCCATGCAGATCAGCAGGGGAATCTAAAGAAATGTCTGTTTTTAAACTCTTTGCTTAGGAAGGTCTACGTTATAGACTCACTCATCTGCTTCACCCTGTAGGCAGTGTCCACGCTTTCGGTTTCCACAACACTCGAAACACTAGAAATCATGGAGGCGCGAGAATCCGAGCGACGCAAAGTAGGAGGTTCTTGTAGCGACAAGGCAATGCTCTGAAATATATATGTATTTCAATATAATATCAATCAATTGAAATCTCTCATCTCAACTTACCTCCATCATTTCCAACTTCTCGGGGTAAGCCAAATCCCCCGATGAGGGATTAAAGTTCTGAATATCCGACTGGAGGTATAAATGCGCTCGAAAAACCAAACGCTCTTGCACATCCTGCAGCAGTTGATGAGCAATGATGCCAAAGGCCTCCAGGGCAGCAGCTTGTTAACAACAATAACTTATTAAAATGGGTTTTAATATATTATATAAAACTACATCAACTTACGGTTCTGCTGGACATGCTCCTCCAGCATTTCTATGCGTAAAATTGAGCAGATCTCGGCCAGCGTTTCCAAGTGATTGATGTGTATGATAAAGGGTCGCATGGTGTCGTAAAGTATAGTGCACAAGCCCTCTAGATAAACTCTGTAAAGAAAAGTCATGGTCAATATAAAGTTCAAAGAGTTGAATAGATATAACTACGTCAAATGTGCAGCTCCCGTGCTGAAGAACTGATAGAACAAACGCTGTTCATCCTGGCAAACATGCACCAAAAAGGCACAGGCACTCCGAGTTAAAGAGCAATGATCTCCCTTGTGGGCTAGTTTCACATTTTGTATGGACGAATTGACTGCCGGCGACATGACGCTGGCCCTTTGCGCCAAATAATGCTGCTGCAGATCCGCCATAAGCTGTCCATAGTCCTGGCTGTGCTCCGAACGCGCCTCTATCAACTGAGCCACACGCTTTACCTTTGCCGCTGCCGTCTGATATTTGCCATAGTACAGGGCAAAGGCGGCATCCGGCGCTTTGAGGGCACTGGAGGCATCTGGTACATTGTTCTTGGGATGCAGTGTGGCCTCGGTGGCTTGGTTGATCACGCTGGTCACATAGTTGCGCACCAAACCGGAGGCTTTGGCCAGGCACTGCCTGTACTTCACATTGTAGGTGGCGGCATCTTTAAATTTGGGCTGCAATGAGGGGTAATTGTAAAGCGGATAACTAAATAAATAATAAATAGATTCAAGCTCACATTCTCCTCGATATAGTTGAGGCATTCGTCGATCTTGTTGAGGCATTCCCGGAAAGCTTCGCTGGCCACCGAAAGCGTGGGACTCTGCAGTCGCTGATTGAGCAACTCCACCTGGCTGAAGTAGTGCAATCGTCGCTGGATTTCGTGGCTTAGCTCCTGGAGCTTCTCCTGTTCCTCGATCAACTGCTCACTGGCCGTGTTTAGGGCACTCGTCTTCTGGGACACAAAGTCATACTCATCGCAGAGGGCGCCCAGGCGCTCCATGGCCCCCGCGATCTGGTCCAGCATGTGCGAGCACTCCGCCTTGCGCTGCTCCAGCTGCTGCAGATATTTGTGGTAGTCCGCATCGCCACGTTGCTCGATCTCGGCACTGACGTCCGCAAACCAGAGCAGGAAATCATTGGTGTTCTGCAATCCCTCCGATGGCAGCTCAATGTTGTCCCCACTTTGGGGATGACATGCAGTCAGGATGGAGTCCGGTGGACCTGCCTGAGTGGGCGTACCCGGAACCGATGCCTGTAAACGAAAAGGAAGGGCTTGAAAACGCTTTCTTTTGCCGGAAGAGCACCCCAACATACCGATGATCCACTGTCCCGCCACAGATTGGTCAGCATGTCCAGAAGCTCCTCCTGCTGGACACTCAGCGCCGCCAGCGGATCCGTCTTGGACTCCCATTGCATCAGGCGGTTCCGAATCTTGCGGAGATTTTCATTCTCGCTCTGGGCAGAGGCGACGTCATCCATTTTTCTGCGGCCGATTTGGAAACAATCAATCAGCTGTTCAGCGCTGGCAGTTCTGGGCTCGCCAGTGATGCGCAGGCGGGGCAGGCAACACTAGCTCGAGCCGAGAAAATAGCTAAATGTTAGTGAGGCCTGGAAATGCAACAGAAATTCAACTTGCTGAAATTTCAGCAGTTCTGCAACCCAGTAGCTGCTGAAAACTTTTAGTATACTTTTGTTGAATTACCCAAAACCTAAAATATATTTCTGGTGAAAATTCAGCAATTCAGAGATTCAGTCCAATATATTAATTTTAAAAGAGTATGTCTCTTTGACTTTGTCTCTTTGACTTTCTAAAACTCTCGGAAAATTATTGTTATTTGGCATTGCCCTAATTAACGTTATGATATGTTTAAGCTACTGATTGTATTCTCAGTCTAAGTAAATCAGTAGCAGTAGCTCTTATAAGATATATAGTTATATACCAGCACCTTTTTTCCTAACTTTCCTTTCAGTTAAAAAGAAAAAGGTCAAAATTGTCAGTATAATAGCTAGCCTGGCAGCACTGTCTTATAAACTTGCGCTAACCAACACTGCGGCATTAAAACCAAGTTCTCTTCTGTTTTTATTGAATTTTTATCAGTTTTTATTCGGGTAATACGGATCACGATGGCCCCGCAGCCGGTGGTAACGGGGCTCTCCCCCAAGGAGGGTCCACCTGGCACCCGCGTCATCATCCGCGGCGAGTTCCTGGGCACCCGTGCCCAGGATTTAATTGGTAGGCGTAGTCCACCGCACAATCTGTTCCATTTTTTGTGATGACTCTTCTCCGATTTCCAATTTAAAGGCCTGAAGATCTGCGGCTCCGATTGCCTGCTGTCGGCGGAATGGAAGTCACCCAACAAGATCATAGCAAGGACTGGTCCGGCAAAGGGAAAAGGCGACATTATAGTGACCACTTTGAGCGGCGGAGTGGGCACTTCCACGGTGCAGTTCCGTGCCTACCATGAAACTATAGGTCCGCTCAAGGAATCCGCCGTCTGGATCGAGGAGTCACCCTCGCAGAACTTTGCCTGGGGTCGTCGCACTTTGGCCCAGTCTGGACTGACGCAGGAGGATCCCCTCGGCCTGTCCATCGAGGGCAATGAGCAGAAGATTCCCGAGGACTTGCGTGACCTGTTCCCCGAAGCCTGTGGCGATCTCTCCCAGGAGCACTTCTCCCCATCCTGGTTTCTCCTGGAGAATCACCTGGCCACCTCCTTTGAGGATCTCAAGGCGGGTTTGTCCTATTTAAAGCGCAAGGTGGAAAGCCAGAAGGAGGGTCAGTTATCCTTCCTGAAGTCCAATGCGGGTTCGGTGATTGACCAGTTGGACACCCTGATGAATATTCGGGATAAGCTGCAAGAGGATGTCAAGCTCCATGGCAATGAGACTCTGAATATCCTAGAGACATCAATTGAGAGTAGGTGAGGCTTTTGCTTAAAGGACTTCCATAGTAACACCTTCTCCTGTTTGCAGACTCCATCAGTGAATCGCAGAAGATCTTCACGGATGTCCTGGTGCGCAAGGAGAAGGCGGACTCCACCCGATCCGTCCTGTTTGCCCTCTCGCGCCACAAGTTCCTCTTCTGTCTGCCCAATGCGGTGGATAGGCGGGCCAAGGCTGGCGAATACGACATTGTGGTGAATGACTATTCGCGCGCCAAGAATCTCTTTGGCAAGACGGAGATTCCCATTTTCCGCAAGGTGCTGGAGGAGGTGGACCACAGGATACTTTCCATCCGGAAGCAGCTGCACGAGAAAGTGGTCAAGATGCCGCAGAGCGTGGAGCAGCAAAAGAAACTGATCAAGGCGCTGACCAGTCTGGAGCTGCAGCAGAGTGGCACGCCCATAGGCGATAAGCTGCGCAACATTGATCCCGCCTGGGATGCCATCGAGGCCAGGGCCAAGTATTTGGAGGGCACCTTCCGCCAAACCTTCGACCAGCATGCCAACAAAGATGCCCAGGGTGGGCAGGAGAAGGCCAAGGGCAGGGATCCCAGCCAGGCCCCAAGTCGGGTGAACTTTTGCGAGGAACTGTGTGACATTGCCGCCTCTCAGTTGCCGGATTTGTGGCGTCTGGGTCAGCTGTACTTCACCGGCGAGCTGAGGGGTCCACACGATCCCAAACCGGGAGACTTCAAGCGTATGATCCTAAACGCCATTGAAAAGTTTTGTGTCTACCTGAGGCTGGCCATCCTCATAGCCACGGACCAGCGTGCTCTGAGGCAGTCCAGCGGCCTGGCTTGGCCCATTGGCTCCGCCTCGGCCACTCATGCGTTTCTGCCGTGGATTCCGCAGTGCCTGCGCTACACGAGGATTGCCTATGCCACGCTCATCAGCCTGGATCTGCCCTCGGAGGCCTTGGACATCATACAGAAGCTCATTGACGAGGTGCGTCTCTTCTGCTTTTCGATTATCTTCAAGCGCGCCACGGATCGCTGCAAGAAGTTGGGCGCCCAGGAGACCTGGGAGCTGGGCGTGGAGGAGTATCCGGGTGCCACTTTGCTGCCGGCCGCCCTCGAAGCCCTGCTCATCGAAACCCTGGACGAAGTGCAGTCCGTTTGCATGCAAAGGGAGACGCGGGAGGGCAATCTGCTAGAGCCCCAATCGGATGGACAAAGGGAGGTGACGACGAGACTACAGGAATTCCTATCCACCTTCAGTGGTGTCATCGAGGAGCTGGCCTTTCACTCGCACGACGAGGAGACGCCCACGCACAATGTGTCCCAGCTGCTGGGCTTTCCCAATGCCCAGCAGCCGGATTCGGTGGCCGGAAGTGCTGCAGCTGGAGCAGCTGTCACCTGGGAGCAGCGCATGCTGTGCTGCCTGGCCAACTATGCGTACTGCAACAAGAGCTTCTTCCCGCATCTCGGTGAGATCTTCGTGCGCTATGGCTATCCACTGCCCACGTTGGCCATCGAAACTGCCCGCTACACGGTGAACCAATTGTTCACAAATCTTCTGGAGGAATATGTGGAGCACAAGGGTGATCCCCTGGTGGGCACCATTGAGCCATCCATGTACTTGGGACGCTTCCAGTGGGATCACGAGATGGAGATTGGCCAGTTGCGTCCCTATGCCCACGAATGCTGCGACAACCTGGTTGGTGTCTACTCCGAGATCTACAGCATATCGCCAGCCCTGCTGAGACCCATTCTGGAGTCCATAGTGCAGACCATCTCAGAGGAACTGGCCCGCCTGATGAGCTGTGTCCAGCGGTTTAGCTTCACGGGTGCCATTCAGGCGCATGTGGACATCCGACTGCTCAGGGACTCCCTGGAGGGTTATGTCAATGAGACGGCCAAGTAAGTTGTTTAATTTAAAAGCTCTTTTATGAGATGTCATGGCTAATACCCAATCTTTCGTAGAAACTACTTCATGGAGGCCTTGGAGGCCATCAATCCTCCCCTGAGTGGCGAGCAAAAGCGCAAGGCGGATGACATACTGGAGCGTGTGAAGCGGAACATGCGACTGCAGCTACTCTGCTTTAGTGTCAAGGATCCCTAAGGACATTCCACTGATAGATAACTATAACTATAACTGTAACTACTAGCTTGTGATTCCCCGTAGGGATAAACCTTTATTCGATTGCAAAAACTTGCTTATTTACTACACAACTTGCCTTACAAACCCAATAGTTTTGGATCAAATTGAAAGTCATTCTGGGCCATTGTCTTGATGACCTGCTCCACATCGATGGCATTGAACTTCTCCTGGACGCGCTGCTTGATGGGATTCTCGATGGCGTCCATGATCTGGTAGCGCAACAGGTTGGGAATCACGTTCACAGCAAACTCCATGACGTAGTCCAACGTGCCGGCTCCATCGCAACGCACCTGGATGTTGCCCATGTCAAACTGCAGATCGGTGATTTGCGCCCGCTTCCTGGTGTCCAGCGATTGGCTCACGCCCACAGTGGCGCGTATATGCTGCACAGTGAACTGGACATGCCCGACGCGGGTCATCATGCCCAGACCCACCTCCCACTGGCCAGCTCCCGTCACCTGGCCAGTGCCCACTTGCAGCACCACCGACACCGTTTTGTTGGCCATCCCCGCGGTTATGTTGCCCACCCGGTAGAAGCTAGAGATGCCATTGATCCAGGTGTGTGCCAGCTGGACACTGAACACTCCCATCGTGCGGTTAACATCAGGCAAATGGTACGGATCGTAGCCCTTCTGGCGCACCATCTTCCTGGCCATGGCAATAGCGCTATCCAGCGGGGTGATGGAGTTCGGCAGCCGCCGTTCACCCAGCGTGTTCTTGATCATGGTGTCGATCTCGCTGCGCAACTTCTTGTCCGCCTCCTGCAGCATAAATGGCTTCATGGCGTCGAACACCAGATTGGGCGCCCCATTGATCACGCTCTGGAAGACGCTGCCCACCAGGCCGAGATTCTGGAAGTCCATGGTCATGTCCGAGAAGGTGATGTCGATCTTAATGCGGTCCGTGGCCAAATGGCCATCGCGTTCGACGGCCAAAAAGGCAGTGGCCTCGGCATATACGTTCTTTAGGATCACAGTAAAAGGTCCATTGGCCCGCGAAAAGAACGAGCTGAGGGTGTACTGACCCTTGACCAGCATCTGATCCAGTTGGAGGCCACCATTGAACTGGAAAGCAGGAGGTTTTAATAATTGAGAAAACTCCTCTTAAGTTAAAACTTAGCTTAACAATTTTTAAACTAAAATTCCTCTGAATAGCAATTGGTTTTGAGTGGCGCCATCTACCGAACTGCAATGGCAACACTCTTTGCCTCTCTCTTAAATATGTGAGCTCTCTTTCTAAAAAACTTCTAAGCCCACAGGTTCGATTTGAAAGATTTTTGGCTAATAGATGTTGACCGAATAAACATATACCTCTTAATAACTGGCCTTTACTATGTTTCAGAAAGATAAAACAGAGTTGTGGGCGTAACTATATAAATATATAAATTCAGACTTAGTTAAAACCAGCATGTTAACTTCCAAATCTCTGGATTGTATAGCTTCCGCCTCGGACTTATATACTTAATAGGCATACAAAAAGGGTATATTATCTACAAGTAAACGGTATAAAAACCCACCTTCATCTCCTTTAAGTCTAGATTCATTTTGTCCACGCGGAACTTGGACAATCCGTGGGCCTTCACTTGCTTCATGTCCAGATTGACCATGCCCAGGCTCTTCTTGACATTGGGCACCTCCAGGGGATCGGGAACGGGCACGCCGGGCAGACCCTGTGGATCCTCTTGCTTAAAGTGCTCCAGCATGGCCTCCACCTGGGCAGCTATGCTGGCCTGACTTTGCTTGAGTGCGTCATCTTCCTGCTCCACGACTGCTGCTCAAAGGTCGAAAGCGTTGAGCGGTTGAGATGGGAAACTAGGATTCCAGGGGCTCACCTTCTCCAGCTGCCTGGGAGTGGACAATGTGGCAGCTAGTTGCCAGCAGTCCCACGACAAGCACTACCACTATCAGCGGCTTCATCTTTCGGGGATTGGCTTGAACTTCTCTGCTTATCAGTTCGGGAAAAACAAGTGAAACGCGGCTAGCCTCCGTTCTCGATTTCTCGACTTCTCGGCACAAATACGCACTGCCGACTGACTGGCGCGTTAATCAGACGATAATGATGAGCCAGACGATCAGTAGTGCTTATCTAAGGGCGACTCTTCTCGCGGAGCCGCTGATTAAACTCAAGAACTGAGAACGAGTGACTTAAGTGAGCGGAAACAGCCACACATGTTCCTTCAGAGAGACAGTGTTCCTGAAACCGTCTTTTCTATTAAAGAATTTATTTTTGGTTTCTTAATCACATCAAGTTTTGCAAAATGTTGCTAAAATCACTAAATATTTCAAATTTGCAAAGCTCATATTGATTTGTCTTTGATAAACATTTTGTAACTCAAGAGCTTAAGTGCTCAAAAGTTGAAGGACTCAAGAACTCGCGTTCCTCAAAATAATATTAAAGATTATAAACAGTTTAAAGGAACCATTCCATCCATACCTTTAAAATCGATAAATAATTTTAGAATTTGCAAAACTTTTATTTCTTAGACTTTTTTTATTTTATGCATTTATGTATATATTTAATCGTAGATTATTTCAACGTTTATGTTGAGAATAACCTTTTAAGGAATTTTCAATGTCTTAGCATATTTTCCATTTTCAAATATTTTGTATCTCTAGAACTCAAAAGACCAAGAACTAAAGAACTCGCGTTTCTTAAACTATGAACGAAGATTTTTTACAGCTGGTGTTAAGAATAACTTTTTCAGTAACAACCCATTTCATAATTACAATGCTCATATTTATTTGTCTTTGTTAAGTATTTTTAAATTTTACACTCGCACTTTTCAGATTATTTAACAGCTTATGTTAAGAATAACCTTTTTGAGTAATCTAAATAAATAAATCAAAATATTTCATAACTGCAATGCTCATATTTATTTGACTTTTTTTAATAGTTGTTGTATTTATATATTCGCATATATATTAACGGCTATATATGGCTTAGTTTGTATTATTGTTTCTTAAAACTAAGTTCTCGTGCTCAAAAAAATTCATGCCCAAAAAAATGTCTTAGCCTATTCAAAAAATTGTCTTAGTTTAGGAAAAAAAATTGAGTTTGTTTGTTTTTTTGTTTTTGGCTCACAGCAACCGCATTTTGAGCAAAGCATACAAAAGATATTTTATAATTCGCTGTTCGTTAAACGAACTAAATTTCCTTTAGTTATGACTATTGCTTTGCTCTTAAATCATAAATATATATCATTTTTCCTGCGGCAGCTGCAGAATTGGTTTACATATTTATATGTAAACATACACACATTGCTTAATACTAGACGACTAATTGGTTGCTTAATACATATTCAAAAAAATTGAGTTTTGGAAACATTTGCTGGATGATTAAAAAAGTCTGGGAAATCCTCAGGATGTAGAATGCTCCTAAAAGATATTTGGGAGTTGATTTGAGTGTTTGTTGTGGCGTTGATTAGAGAGGAACTAAATATCTTAATGAAATAAGAAGATCAGTGAGGATGATGCCCAGACATATTCTATTTGAAGAAACATTTCTGGGCATCACAAAATACATCACATAAACACAAAAAAAAAAAAAAAAAAATTATATAAGCAATGTAAGGATAAAACAACATCTATGGGTGAGTCGTTGCCTTGCTTACAAGTCATCCGAGCCGGACATGATCTCCTCGAACAGTGAGTGGGCATTGTCAGTGGCTGACAATCTGTCGCCGGCGGCAGAGTTGCTCCTCGATCCGCCACTGACAAGCTCGTCCACCGTGTCGAGGGCCGAGAAGTTGGCCCTGCCGCGTCGTGTTCTACTGGTGGTCCTGAATTTCTTGGTTGGCGACGACTCGATCACTTTCCTTTCGGGAGCCGGCGGCGGCGGTGGTGGCGACAGGGATGGCGGTGGAAGTGGTGGCTCTGCGGGAAGCGCAGGAGGTGGCATCACATAGGCGTACTGCGGTATGGAACCGTTGCCATCGTTGTTCTGCAACTGGACGCGCATGAAACCAACTGTGGCCGGATCAACGGGCTTGTTGCCCTGGAAGATATTAAAACCTATAAAAAAATAGACAATTAGAGAGGATTCAAATCTGCTATGCAACAGCTTACCCTGGTATTCGCCATTCTCGTTCTGCACCAGAACCAAGGGATGCTGTGACTGCTGCAGATTGCTCAATGGCACTAAACTGATGCCATCGCCTGAACTTTCTGGCTGCACAGCCTCCCCACTGTTCTCCTCCTCCTGCTTGGCCGCCTCTGCTGGTTCCTCTGTTTGCTCCAGCACCACTGGCTCTGGGCTCAGTTCTTCTTCGTTGTCACTCTCCACAAAGTCCTCTTTGTGGGGATTCTTGCAGCTCACACAATTGCAGCCAGCGCAACTATTGCCAGAGTTATAGCACTGACAGCGGGAGTTGCGACAGGTGGTCAGGGTATTGGCCGAACCAGAGATTCCACAGCGGCACTTGGGCTTCGTTGGCTTGGCCTTCTCCTCCTTTTCCTTGCCGCGAATCTTGCGGAAGGAACTCTTGCCGCTCTGCAACTTGACAGGCTCCAGTTTGGCCGCTTGCGAGGCCTTCAGACTGCGGGTTCTCTTTCGTGTGAGTGGTGGCTCTTCCTCCTCCTGCAGCTCCACATTGGGGGGTTGCAAGTGCTCTTCGGCTGCCTCTTCAGCTACTGCTTGTAGCTCTTCCAAATCCTTATCAATCACCTCCTGCTCGACATGTTCTTCTGCCTGCAGTTGGGATAGTTTCCTTTTGTGGGAGGAAACTACCTCTGCTTGGGGCTCTTCTAAATCAGCTAGCAAAGGTGACTGGGCAATTGGCAGGGCCAACTCCTCTTCTTGCTCTACGATTTCCGCGGGAACCTCCAATTCCCTGCTCTCTTCTTGATCTCTTATAGCAGCCAGAGGCTCCTCCACAGACAGCTCTTCCAATTGAGCTGAGATTTCAACAGATTCCTCAACAGCCAATTGATGGGGCTCTTCAACAGCCAACTGGCCGGAGGTTTCAATGGTCTCCAGCACTTCCAGTTGCGTGGAGTCTGCCATTTGCACCACCTGACCGATTTGCAGCTCCTGCGATTCAAACGGAGTGGATGCTGCCGTGGGCATAACATAGGAGACGGCAAAGTTGGTGCTGTTGCTGGGGAAACTGGCCACAGAGACGGCGGCGGAGAGGTCCACCTGATCCGTCCAGGCGTGCTCTATGAGGCCAGACTCCGTGGCGATGACCATCTGGCCGCCATGGGTGAGCAAACCCATCCGAGATCCCGTGGGCAGCAGAGGAAGTGGCGAGAAGTGACCCTGTTCAGCGGTGGCCGCCGCCTCAGCCTCGATATCGCTGATGTTGAGATGCTGATCGTAGGGCAGCTCCGGAGTGGTGGCTGCCGTCGTCGGAGGCGTCTCCGCGGGCAGGGATGTGGGCAGATCCTTGAGGAAAGGCAAATCCGGCTGCGGCAGGAAGGTGTCCCCAGTGTCTGAGATATTAGAGCCCTCGCGTATGAACTCCTGGGTGGTCATGGGCGGCAGCTTGATGCGCGGCACCAACTCCCTGCCCACCTGGGGCCGCAAGCCAGCCAACTGGCCGAACAACGAGGATTGCAGCAGATGGACGCACAGCGTCTTGTAGCACAGCAACTGGATGCCCATCAGGCGGTTCTCCTCGTAAGTCTTGAAGTCGGAGCACCCCTCACACTGGGAGCAGTTGGGAAAGAGATGCTTCTTGCCGCGCAGGCACAGCCGGCACACATTGTGCTGGCATCGCTTGCCCTTGGGGGAGTAGGGATCCACCAGGAGCTGGCAGCAGACCACGCAGGAGAGCAGCTGCCGGAGCTCGCCAATGCCCGAGTTCAGCTCATCCACGCGGCGCTTGGACAGATTGGAGGCGGAGCGCAGCGAGAGGCGTGTCACCTTCAGGTAGACCGTCTGGGCCAACATGGTGGCTATATTTCTATGGCCGGTACTGTACGAAACGCCGGTGTCTTGTGTTTTTTTTTTGTTTACCAACCACAAACCAAAATGTGAGACTCCGCTGGTCAAGCTGCCAGCTACCTGTTTAATCCGCCGAATTACCTGCAATTCCTCTGCTCACCACGCCGTAGTTACACAAAATTGAACCTTAATCCATTGGTTTTTTCATTAAATGGACAATTTCACAGGATTCACAGGCCAGCCTTTTTTCACTTGGTCGATGCTGTGTATGATCCTTAACACTATGTTTCACGTGCAAAAAAAAAAAAAAAATATGGGTTTATGTTTGAGATAACTCAAGTCATTGTAAATGGTTATGTACTGTACAGTGTACAGTGTAAATAATAACTAAATTTAACAACTTAAAAAAAATTACCCGAGCAACGAGCTGAGCGTAGCAAGTGTGACCGCAGTGTGGTAGTGCAGATAAGCCACATCAGTGTGGCCAGCAGTGTGACCGTTTTCCTGAGGGCAGTTAAACAGCTGATTTGGGGCAACCCAGTAGATTTTTTGCCTAACCAAGCTGCGGTCCTACTTCCGAATTTTGCATTAAGACTTTTAAGTAATTAAGGTTTTTTTTTTAAGAATTTCCTGTCAAACAAAGTCCGAAACCAATGGATCTATAAACTAATATAGCTTACGCTTGTTCTAGGGGAGACGAAAGCCAAAAAATGCCGGAGCCGCGCAGTCCAATGGCCAGCTTCGCCGAATCGGTGCTCAATGTCATCGATGGACCCATTACTTGGTTCCGTGGTACGTAATCCTTGGGGATTGGATACAATATGATCCTTAGAGTATCCAGACTCAGTTCAGATGAGTTTCCTATGGTCAGGAACTGGAAAAAGTGGAAAAACTCCAGGCAATTACATAATGACATAACCTCAACACCTAGGGCATTTGTTTTTGTTTACACTCCATTGAAATGGTAATACTAAAATAACTTTTTGTTTTTACCAAAATAAGGTTTGTGTTTTGAAGAAGTTTCGGTACAACCAAAGAATTATAAATAATCTTCCTCAAACTGTTTAAAACTGAGACGTTATATTATAAATGTTATAGAAAATACCGGGTTATTTCCTGACATATTTGCATTCAATTAAGCATATTGTTGTTAAATCTAAGTCCCTAAGTTATTATATCCAAAATGGAGTAATGTTTTTTGTTTCAAAAATGCCACATACCAAATTTCATATCGATTCGGTTATTATTATTAACAGAAGAGCGAGTTTAGTTGGTTTGTCGTTTTAAAAACGTCTTTATATGATTTATTTGAGTAGTTCTCTAGTTAAACTTATTAATTATATATTTTCTTTAGGAATTCTTAATAAGATTTTCTGGGTAAACTATAAACTCACTTATGTCCTCCCCACAGAGAGCATTGTGGAGCCGAACCAGGAGAAGCAGAACTGGTACCACCAGCGTTTCCGCCGAGTGCCGACCATCGATCAGTGCTACACGGACGATGCCGTCTGCCGCTTCGAGGCCGATCAGCAGTTCCGTCGGGATCGCATGGTGGACAACGAGATCGTGAACATTCTGCGCCAGCGCTTCGAGGACTGCACCCTCTACGAGGCTCCCGACCACATCGTCAAGTGCAAGCCGCTGCTGGAACAATACGAGAAGGCCACCGAAAATTGGTTCATCAAGTGTGAGTATAAAATCTGGAGAGCAATAGATGTTTTTTGGGCACAATATTACCAAAAAAGAGGCTTATATTTAAGGACATCTGGGTGTCTAGAACCGAATGTTAAGCATTTTTTTTGAATAGTCTCAATAACAAACATCAAACAAACTTAAAGAAAATATTTTCAAAGGTCTTATATTTTTAAAATATTAAAAAATATATTTTGAAAAATATTGACCACCGAGAATCCTTAACCATCAAATGGCCACCTACTAATTGATACCCTTCTGTTTCAGATGGCGATTTGGGTGGCTATGCCAATGCCAAGACCGCATACATGAAGCAGAAGCATCGTCTGATTTGGGAGCGTCGTCACGGACCCGTGGGCAGTGGCATGAAGGAGGAGGCCGCCCACTAAACTCCGATCCCCGAGTGCCCAACGACACGAGCCAATCTGAGCTGATGTTGTTTTCTAGTTTCATTATCCGTTATAACTAAATATACGCGCCCTGAAATGGTAAACCCTAAAAACCATCTTTTAAAATTAATTGTAACTGAGAAAAGGTTTTGAGAAAAGGGCTTTTATAGTTTCGTCTGCTACTTACCCAGTCTAAAGCGAAATATCTTTAAATTGGCTGAATGTTTTGGCTTATATTTATATAGACAAAGCATACAAGAGATAAGAATAATAATGTTTTAAATGGTAAATTTGTTAAACTTATTTCAAAATAATTTTTATTCAAGACTTGTTTTTGGCCTTATCATCATTATAACAGATTTCAGCAAAGTTTGGAACTGCGGGTCAATTCGCCAAATGTATTTTCGGAAATTTTTGTGGAAATTCAGCATTATCATTACCAGCAAAAACAAAAATGAGGCACTCGAGGCCATTGTAGAAATTTTCAAATTCCAATTAAAAAGTTTCTGAGCTTCTGTTTCATTTTAAAATAGTTTTAATTGTAGTGCCTGGTGTTAATTACAATTCCTAAAAATTAATGAATTCCAAATCTTCCAAAGTCAATTCAGAATTAAATTTTGCTTTTGTTACTAGAAAATTGCCAATTTTTAATGTAATTGAGACTGAAAAATCCTCATATTTTGAAAATTTGTAGATTAAAAAATAAAAGCTCATCGTTACTACAAAAGTAAAAGTATAATCACTAGAAAGACCGATTTTGTAAAGCACACGAGTCATTTCGGCAGACAATTTTGGATTAAACCGCATCATTTAGATTATAAAGAATGATTAACACAAACACCACACTATACGCTATGGGTTTTAAATGTTTTAGGTTTTTATTTTTCATTTAATTCAGATGTCTAAGTATTTTTATTAATTTCAAAGTCATTCTTCAGCTAAAAGTAGTCATTTAAAAAATGAACATTTTGGTTATATAAACCCTTATAAATTAATTTAGTTTTTAATTATCTAAGATTTTTTATAGTTTACCATTTCGACAAAGTTAAAGTTAACTTAAAAACTATTTGAGACAATCCTCAAAAGAGAAACAGTCGGTTAGGTTTATAAAGTAGGTAAATTAGTAAGCACTCTAAAATTCATAATTCAGTTTGGTTTGAAGCACTACACGAACTTCACTTTTAATTAACTTTTAAATCGTAACATTTCATTTAAAAAAGCATCAGTTACCAAGAATATAATTTTTTGTTTCTTTAAAAAATGAAATAAATGGTTTACAATTCTTTAAAAAAAGAAAAAAAATGCACTTTTCCTAATGAAATTAGTTTACCAATATAAGTTAGTTGTGAAGTTCTCTTGGGGCTTTCGTTTATACTATAATTCAACTATAGGTATAGCTAACCTAATTTACGTGCTTAGCTAATGGAGACGAGCGGCTTGTTCATGAGACTCTTTTTCAGCTTGGCCAGAGCGCTGTTTCCGGTTTTAGCGTCTCCTGGCTTCTTGTCCTTGTTTTTGGGACCCAGGGGAATCATGGTGGTGTCCATTAGCTTGCGTCGGAATCCCTTGTAGAATTGCAGCACCTGCGGATTGGCCCACACTTGCTTGGCATCGAAGTCGAGGATGCGAATGGATTGCAGGGATTTGGCTCGCGATAAGGCCACATAAGCCTGCCCAGCCTCAAAAACTTTGGACAGCGACATCTCCACGCAGTCGAGAGTTAAGCCTTGGCTTTTGTGTATGGAAAATGCCCAGGCCAACTTCAATGGCACCTGGCGACGTGTGATGAGTGCGCCCGTGGCCGTTTTAATGATCCACTTCTCGTGCTTGCAAATATACTCCTGATTGTTTTTGAACCTCACCACCGGCAGATCCTTGTCCATTCTAACAACCACGCCGCGAGCTCCGTTCACCAGACCATTGGATATGTTTATATTCTTGAGCAGCATCACTTGGGCATTGACTTTTAGGTAAAGTTGTGAGGGAGCCTGAATCTGTTGGTCCAAAGTCTTGGTCATGCCGGCATCCGAATCATCGGCCTTGAACAACACCTTGTCTCCCTCGAGATTTTCCAACTTCGACTCGTTTATGGAATTGGCATCGTTCGTGTGGGAGCACAATTGTGTGGCCAGTATGCCATTGCCCTCGATTTTCTGCTTTGATGTTGCCGCCAGTCGACTAGTTATTGAATCATTTACATGACCAATTCGAAGGTGGTTTAGAATCTTCACAAACTCCGGATCCGACTGACGATGCACTTGCTTCAGCTCGTAAACACACTGGATGCATGTCTCCCACGCGCTGGACTGGAAGCAGAATCGCTGCTGGGGCGTGGCACTGGGCGCTGCCCCGAAATCAGACTTAATAACCGGCGGAAGTTGCAGGAAATCGCCGCACAAAATAAGCTGGATGCCGCCAAAGGGGCGATCGTTGCGACGAATGTGACGAGCCACGGCTTCGATTTTCTGTGAAAAGATAGAAATAGGAATTACAAAAATTAAATCAAATATATAAGAGTTTAGAATTTTATTAAACAAATATATTCCAATTTAATGATTGTTTTTTAGGTATTATTATTTCTTAGGGAAACAAAAATTAAACATCGGATAACTTTTTTTCTGCACCATTCTTGAAAGAGATTCTTTTGCTAGCTTATTAAGCGAATCAATTTAGTCATGATATCTATAAATTCTTTAGTTTTGCTTACTGGATTTTCAAATAATGTAAAACCAAAGTACCTCAAAGAACTGCCCGTCCACCATGGAGATCTCATCGATGATCAGTCGCTTGCACTTGCGCCAGTTTTGGGCGCTGACGGGTCGTGAAGCCAGTTCCAGAGACCTCTGCATGGTGGCGTCTCCACCGCCTATGCCCGCAAAGGCATGCAAAGTGGTGCCACCAATAAGACAAGCTGCCACGCCCGTAGAAGCCGTAGCCACTGTGCCATCCGGTGGCAGGGCGGAGATGATCCTTCGAAGGAGGAAACTCTTTCCCGTGCCGGCGGAACCAGTGAAGAATACATTTTTGCCGGAGGTGCAGGCACGCAGGACCTCCATTTGCTCCTCGCTCAGTCGCAGGGATTCGTCTGTGACCGATTGATAGAGTTTCTTGGCTGCTGGCAGGCCACTCCGCCCCTCGCCCCGCTCCTCCTTGAGCTCCTCGAAACGTCGTTTTTTGGCCGCCTGAGGCGATGGAGTGGTCACCGAACCCTTGGACAGCAAACCCGCCTTTTTGCGCGCCAAAATCATTTCGGCCGTTGTCACGGGAGAGACGTCTTCAAAGCTGCTGGGCTTACCGGACATCAGATGCTCCCGGAGTTTCTTTTGCAGCGAGGCATCATCCGGCTGACATCCTTCCGCATTTCCATTCATTTTAATGAAAATCGTGCGCAGGAAGAACATCAGAGTGCCCGGTGGCGCATTGGACAAGTAGAGGGTGCAGTTTTCCGCCTTGAAATTGAACGTGGCCTTGCCCTCCGACATGAATTTCTTGTGCACCATGAGATCTTTGAGTTTAAACTTGAGTGGCTTTAGTTTTTCCGGCGTCACCTCCACAAACAATTCGCGCAAATCATTTCGCACCAAACGCAAAGTCGCCGTCTTGTAGGCCAGTTTTCTACCCGTAATTCCCACGGAATTCGTCCACTGCATGTTCACTGCACAGGTGACCACTGCGTCGTTGAGATCCATTGCGGTTAGCGCTTGGCTTTAGTCAGTTTTGCGTAAAATTAAAATTAAAACAAATCTAACTATTCCATGCGTTTGCTTTGCTCGCCGATTGGCTTTTCGATAGCAGTGTGAAAATAATCGATATCAGCGGGTGCCAGTGTGCCCTCGCTTGATCGTTTGAAAATACCAAAAATATGTTGAAATGATTAGCTAAGTTTCATTCCAGGATCAGCTGGGACTCAAGCCGGAAACTGGTTGTATTTTAGTTGGAATTTGGAATAAACTTTTATTGTAGAATTAAAATGTAAAACTTGTTTATTTAGGCAAGCTGAAATCAATCACAATTAGAAAAGGCCATAAGATATAATTAAAATAACTGAACAGCAAAAATAAGTATATTCACAACTCCTAGCTTAATAAAACTAAATAGCTAAGCTTCTATCCAGGATCAGCAGGGACTCGACCCGGAAATAGGAGTCAGAGGAAATTTATAAAATCACATAAACTTTTACTCAAATATTTATATTTAAAATTGTTTAAGGAGGCTTAGAAAGAATCAACTCCTATCGTAAAATCACTTTATTTACAATTGATAGCTAAAAAAACACAATCGCTATGAACTGGGATTTAAGATTAATTGTGCGCCTTCTGGTTGCCATTCTGGTGGCTTCTTTGATTTCAACGTCCATTTTGGCCTACCTGGTTGCCCACAGATTCCATGCGGTAAGCAAACTGATACAAAAAGAGGGAATTCCCAAAGAACAACTCTCAAATAGGGAAAACCAACAAAAAATTGAGTTTTCCCTACGAAAAGTAACTTTATCCCAAAATGAATTGGATATTTTGAAAATCAAACGCAATGGAAACTTCCGCTTACCAAAACAAACAGCTTTAAGGGATTGGCACGATCATTTGGCCATTAAAGAGGATAAAATTAGAATTGGCTTGGGTGAGCAGGGTATGGCAGCGGAAATACCAAACATTGACGAAAAGGATATACTCTACCAAATGCATGGCTTAAATGCCAAGCTCTCCGATCACATTTCACTAAATAGATCCTTGCAAGATATCAGACCTTTAAGGTAAGTTTTTATCGATATACATTTATAAACTTTAAAACTCAAATACAATCTCAGTTGCTGGCATCGCAAATATCTAAATAACTTGCCCAATGTGACTGTTATTATGGCTTTTCACAATGAGCATCTCAGTGTGATTTTACGCTCCATATCGAGCATCATAAATCGCTCTCCCTCGGAGTTACTCAAGCAAATTGTCCTTGTGGATGATGCCAGTTATCTATCGGATTTGGGACACAAGCTCGAAGACCTTGTGGCGTTGAGCTTTCCCAAAATAATCCAAATACTGAGATTTACAGAGCGACGTGGCCTGATTAAAGCGCGGCTAGAGGCAGCCAAAATAGCCAGCTGCCAAGTTTTGATTTTCCTAGATTCCCACATCGAAGTCAACATAAATTGGGTAAGACCTTTGACTATATTTTACTATAGAGAAGATTTAAGTCAACAAAAGAGTTAAAATCCTTTTGCTGTTGTTACTTCAAGATTAAACAAATTTGTATTTATTTTACTTACTTAAGTTAAATTTATTTATATTTTACTTCTTTTAACTACTAATAACTTTTCAATCCAATTTTTCAGCTTCCTCCCCTGCTGGAACCCATAGCCATTAATAGGAATATTGTCACTGGTTCCATTTTGGATATAATCTCTCACAAAACATTTGCTTACACCAAGTATAATTCGTTCTCCCGTTCGGGCTTTAATTGGTTACTTCAGATTCAGAAACTATCAGTTTTTCCCGAGGATAAAGGATTTGGATCCTCGCCATATCGAACACCGTTGATTGTGGGCGCTTTGGCCATCGACAGGAATTACTTTTGGCAACTGGGAGGATACGATGAGGAGCTGGACATCTGGGGCGGGGATCAGTTTGAGCTAAGCTTTAAGGTCTGGATGTGTGGCGGCATGATGCTTTATGTTCCCTGCTCCCGAGTGGGCCACATAAACAGAGGACCAATGCGATCGAAACAGAGCCCAAGGAATTACAATTTCGTGGCCAGGGTGAGTAAATAATACCCTTCTAAGTTGAGGAATTTTATTTAATTTTGAACGTTGATATATATACATTTTGAAATTAAAACGATTTTAAAATATTTAAGTCTGAAAATTGCGTATACACAATAATTGGCATTGCAAAAATTGCGTATACGCAATGATGCCTAGAAAGTTTTCTTTAAAAGATAAAGAATCATTTTATTATCATTTAATTTTCTACAAAATAACTTTTAGTACCAATTACTAAATAAGTGGCTTTCTGAAAATTATGTATACGCAACTATACCTAGAAAGCTTCCAAAAAAGGCAAGGAAAAACATTTAGTGTTCCAAAGCGCAAAGTTTACATAAAATAAATATAAATATATATATAAAGAAATTATATGTTAAAATAATTTATTTAAATATTTTCCATAGAACTATAAACTCAACAAGTAGCATTCCGAAAAATGTGTATACGCTGTTTTCAGCACTACAAAATTTTAGGAAAATACTTAGAAGTCGAAAGGGCAAAAGAGGTTATCAAAAAACTCAATTACCTAAAATTATTAAACAGCATTAACATTTGCTCAATAGAACTACAAACGCGTGGCTGAAGTGTGGATGGATGAGTACAAGACTTACGTTTACGACAGAAGCCAAGACCTTTATGAGAAGACACAGGCCGGATTGCTTACCCAAAGGCAGTCACTTAGAAAGTCGTTGAAGTGCAAGTCCTTTGACTGGTACATGCACTCAGTGGCACCGGATTTCCTGAAAGTATTTCCAACTCTAGAGCCACCGGGGATGATCTCGGGATCCATTGAAAGTGTGGCCTACCCCGGATTCTGTGTGGACTCCCTGAATGGAAGCCACAAAAAACCCGTGGTTCTTTCACGCTGCAACGGAAATGGAACGCAACTCGGTAAATTTCAGAATTGGCATCTAACAAATGAACGTGAAATTCGGCTGCTAAACGGTGGCGGTTGTTTGCAAACGCAGGGATTTAAGACAAAATCAGTTTGGCTCTTTCACTGCCATGAAAATGGAGGAAATCAGTACTGGCTCTATAACCGCCGACAACGTTTAATTCAACAGGGTCAGATGTGGATTTGGTGCTTAGAAGCCAATTTGCCGAATGGTCATCAAGTGGGCAAAGTGCTCTCCAATAACGTTTGCCACAAAAACGATACCAAGCAGCAGTGGAAGTTCGGAGAATTCGATGCCTATGATCCGCAATTGGAATACCAGGGAGCCTAGAAAAAAATATAGTTAGTTAATAATTTACTTAATTTAAAAAAAATATTTCATCAAAATAATAATATGCATTTCTCAACAAATTCTTTCCTTTCAAATTTATAAGCAAACGTAGTTTTAAAATAAAAATAAATACAACTATATTTTGTATTCTTTTATTAATTACTTTATAAATTTATAAATTTATTTAGAAAATATTTTAAAAAGTGTATCAACCCTTTTCAAATAACTGCCTTTAGTTCCGGCTATAGCCAAACAGGTGTCGCCACCGTGACGCGCGCTCCACTAATTTGAATTCGCATGCGGTGAGGTTCAGTTTATTATTGTTCTTTTGGACCAACTTTTGTTCAGGTGAGTTCCGAATCTTCGTCTGACACGTCATCTCGTGCAGCCAAAGTCGTCTGTCTGCCACTGATTGATAGTGGAGAAGCGTGTCATCTAACCATGGTTAAAGTTCCAAAAATGGAACTCACTACGTCGCCTTATCAACGAATTTCCCGCACTCGAGATGCGATACTACCAATTACACTAATGGCTGTCTAGTTTTTTTTGCCAGGTGTCACTACTGCATTATTATGCCAGCAGTCAGTGCTTTGGACTTCCACCGGCAAGACGTCCAAATGGCCATGAAGAGGAGATATGTGAAGCGTCTAATACGCAAAATAGTCCTGCTAGTGGTGGCCATCGCCAGTGTTTCCCTGCTCACCACTTTGATAGTCGAGCGGCGAATGAAACGGAATGCGGACTTAGAGGAAAAACTCGATGGAAATGGAGATCCCGTGACTCCAGTTTTTAGGGCAGCCAATATACAGCCACCTCGAAAGGCTCCACGACCTCCATATCAGGATCGCAACTCTGTAAGAGATGTGCCACAAGGTGAGAAGATTGTGGGTTTCCGGCTGCCGGAACCGGAAGGCGAACGCAAGGACTGGCACGATTATGCCGCCATGGAGGCGGATAAGAAAAGAACTGGTTTTGGTGAAAACGGAATGCCAGCATTCATAGATGACCTCAGTGAAAAGGAGCTGGAGGCGGAGATGTCCCATAGGAATGGCTTTAATGGCCTCGTTTCGGATCGCATTTCCATCAACCGATCTGTGCCGGATGTCAGACTTGAGGCGTGAGTATATCAATCTATCTACACAATCTAATTCAATTTCATTTTGAAAATTTAGAGGAAATGTAGGTCATTTTTAATTTAATTTTTGAAAACCTTTTACTTTATGTTTATAGCTGCCGAACCCGAAAATACCTGGCAAAGTTACCCAATGTCAGTGTGATTTTCATATTCTTCAATGAGCATTTCAGTGTCTTGCTGCGATCCATCTATAGTGTGATAAATCGCACTCCACCGGAGTTACTCAAGCAAATTGTCCTCGTGGACGATGGCAGTGAGTGGCAAGCCTTGAAAGAACCATTGGATGAACATGTAGCTCAGCACTTTCCACATCTGGTGACTATAGTAAGAAATCCGGAGAGAAAAGGTCTGATTGCAGCGAGGATTGCAGGAGCAAAAGTGGCAATCGGGGAAGTTATGGTCTTCTTTGACTCCCACATCGAAGTTAACTACAATTGGGTAAGAGTTTTTATAGACGGATTGTGTTTCTTACAAAATAAAGCTTCGCCATTTAGAATGTTTATCTACAGTTTCACATAATATAATTTTTATCATATTAATTGTCAAAAGTACTTTTATAACATATTTAATTAGAAAAGTTTAAAGGTTATTTTCAAAATAATTATTTATTTTACTCAGTTCATATTTTCGCAACCAATAATTAATACAATTTTCATCATTATCAAA